GAGAGAGAGAGAGAGAGAGAGAGAGAGAGAGAGAGAGAGAGAGAGAGAGAGAGAGAGAGAGAGAGAGAGAGAGAGAGAGAGTACTTGGGGAGGTCGGAGAAAGTGAGAGTAAATAGTAATACTCGGAAGCACGGCTTCTTGTCTTTGTGCCAACGAGTTCTTTTGCGAACCAGCTTGTTGACCTTTCAGAAAGTGTTTGAATTTCGTAGTCTTTGCTAATATTAGAGATGTTTCAATTTGACGACCCTTACCCGAGATCATACGACAGTAGTTTTCACATATGTATGTGTTGGCAGCGTATGTATATCGTGGCAGTGTCGCGTATGGCACCAGGCACAGGCAGGTTATTGAGCTGCACCTGGAAGCAACCAAAAGAATCTGTCTGCAAAGCTACCTGTTGGAAGGACCAGTTGTGGGTCGTTGCTATGTATTGCGCAGTCCCATTTTGTGGCCGTTTTTCAGCTGTTCCCGTATGCCGCGGAGTACTTTGGAATACCAATATTCGGACTTGTTGTGCAAATACAATCTCCTGCCTCTTTTCATTCTCTGTCCTTTCTTCAACCACTGTCCCTCCCTGCAGGTCCCTTGCCTTCCCCCCCCCCCCCCCCCCCACGCGCACCCATGCTTTCTTTTCTGCATACTCAGTCATGCTTTGAACTGCATGCTTTTTTTCTGCCTCCTTGCATTGTCGGTCATCTCTTGAACCACACTTCTCTCCTACCGACAGTTACAAGCCCCGTGTATTCAGTCTCTCTTTGTGACAGGTTGAGTTTGATCACTCTTCCTGTGAGTGGCGTCGGCTGATCACTCTTCCTGTGAGTGGCGTCGGCTTTTCGAGCATTGCCATTATGACTGCATTCGTACGCCAAGGTGGCACGTGTTTTGTCAGTGCCTGCTCCCAGCTCATCCAAGAAGCTAATAATTAGGCTACCTGCTCCTCTGTGGTGGGCCTTGCATTATAATTTTCATATCGGAATAGCATGCACATTTCCGCATCTGCTTGCTGCGCTGGCATGGTTGTCGGGGTCCGAGTTGGCGACCCTTATGGTCCTCTGTTGTTGTGGGTGAAATCACCTGTCGTCTATTCTTGCCCTGTTAGCATGGCCTTTCTGTACCCTGCACTCTACTCTTCGGTTAATCAACCCCACAGGGTGCGACTGCACTCTTAGCATAAGAGTGTGCCTCCCTGCATGTGCGATAAGCTTTGCACCTGGCAGGACCGAAATGTAAATGTCTATCAAATTATCACCTCTTTCTGTTCGTGTTTTCTGTCCCTTTTCACATGCTATGCTTGCAGTGGGCTGTTGTCCTTTTGGGAATGCATACGTTAGCAATGATACTGTAGTAGAATTGCAGCGGTGTGAGGTAATGCTGTTGGGTGCACATTATGTACACGTGATGTGATCGGAAAGGAGGGAGGTGACAGCACGACCGACGACCGAGGTTACTTCGGTAAATATTCACCAAGATGACCGACGACCGAGGTTACTTAGGTAAATATTCACCAAGATGACCGACGACCGAGGTTACTTCGGTGAATATTCACCAAGATTACTGTACACGCGATGTGGTTGCCAAGTTGTCAGAAGACCAACATCCTGCTGTGAGCACTGGGTGTGTTGTCGTCGCTCATTGTGCAGAGGTGAGAGAGTGGACGAGTATAGTGTGCAGCATGCGACTGGCGATCTAGAGGTGAGTGACTGTAGTTGTGTGGAAGAAAGGCCATGCGCACACGTAGCAAGGGTAGTGGAGAAACACATGCACACACTGGACTTGCGCTAGAAGCAGCAGAGAAGGGATAGCGAATTTCAACAACAGGATAAAAGTATAACCGTGTACGCAGCTTGCCTCCTTTAGGGCTTGTCACCATATTGAAAAAGAAAGGGCTTGTCACCATATTGAAAAAGAAAGCCAGATTGTCTCCGTAGGCGGAGTGCAGATGTGGTCAGATATCTTTTGTCCTTTCGGACTTGGCCCCGTGTTTTTTCTTATACCTGGAAGATATGGGTCTGGCAGGGGGCCTCCAGCAGTCTCTGACAGAGTGAAAAGCTTGATGTAATCCCACGGTTGTATTCGCGCACTGGGGCTATGCTGAATGAGGCAGGGTTTCATGTGCTCAGGCTGGACCTAGCATTAGCGTACTGCAACAGGTCACAGTGTTACGACTTGAACCACTTGTACATGACCCCAACCCTGTGGAGATTTGCTTGTCACCTACTCCAAAAAAATTGCGCCTTGGGCCCCTACCGGAGCACAATGGCTGGTGGCGCCAGCCAAAAAAGAAAAGAAATGCCCCACTGGCGGTTTGGAAAACCGTGGCTTGCAGTGTAGTGCATCCCGACCTGGGTGTACTGGTAGTTTAAGGTGCTAGGTAAACTGCCATTATCGTGCTCCCATGTTTTCTTTCAGACCAGAACCTAAGACTGGATGTGCAAGCCTCCACAGTCCGACCAACATTGGATAGGGCTTCGCCAACCGGCACACTAAGGCATGGCCTGTGTTAATGGCAGAAGTGACCTGTGGGTATGATGGACGGCTCTGGTGAGATCGCAAACACGGTCTGGTAGGTATGCTGTTGTTGTCAAACACTAGTTTTTGTTTGCTGTTGTTGTCAAACACTAGTTTTTGTTCAATGCACAACTTCAACGGTGGTCGTTCGAGGTAAGCCAACATGGTCATAATTGCTGTATTTAGACTGAAAGCCACCCCAAATACATCTGCAATAACTGTACGTTGTATTCGGGTGAAGAAGGTAGGTGCTGAGGATCATGCAGCTGAACTCTTGAAGGCACTCGGAACCCACGGAACAAGGTGGGGTCGGCTACCAAGGGAATGATCGAAGCCGAGATTCTCTGCCAATGGAAGAAAGAAAGAACTGATCCAGAACACTCCAGATGCAGATTAAGAGACACTTGTGAAATTCAAGCGGGGTTGGTTAGCAGCAAGGGGCAAGGTGGCACATTTTCACGGCCTCAGTCTGACGTGGAAGGAACGACACCACTCCAATACAACAACTGCAATATGGCATGCATACTTTGGAATTCTCAGGCACAAGGAACCTAGGACACTCCAGGAAACGACCGACTTGGACATGACAGTGAGCGACTTGGAAAAATCAGCAAATTGAAATCGGTCTCAGCAGGTTGTGGGGGTAAGGGCCAGGAGCCAGAGGGTGTCAGTGGTGAAGATGAGTGGACAGCCACTCCGGAGTTGAGAGGCGGCCTTTGAAACAAAGGAAAAACTGACGGTGAATGCGCGATGGAATATGGAGCATTCAATGCTGTCCAAGGGAGAGCTTTGGTAGGACGAAAGGAAAGGTGGTGGGGCCCACCAATCTCGCTCCGGTTTACAAAGAGCTATTCGACGAACTCGTTGTCAAGTGTGAGAAGGGAGAGGAAGGACGTGGCAAGCCGACGGTCAATCCTCCAATAGGATCAATCAAGGCATGCTGAGATGAGAATTGTAGTAAAAAATATATTTTACCGACTCTGGTTCGGAACAGAATAACTCGAAAAGAAAGATAATTTGAAGAATCTCTTGCCATATGTACCTGTTTGAAGTGTGCTAAGAAAAATGATGTTGCTTTACAAAGATGCCTTGGGCTTAAACCACCAGTACTTGGCCCCCTGGAAGTGCCCTGCGCGCCGTTTCCCACCGAAACGCCAATTCGATTTTGGTTTTCGGAAAGGTTGGCGGCGCCAGCCTTCCAGGTCCGGTTGCCCGAAGCGCGAACTTCGCGTAGCGTTAACGCTAAGGCCCGCGGCCGATATACGGGCCAAGTACTGGTGGTTTAACGGAAGGAAGTGGGAGCGGGTATCTGTTGTACCGGATTGATGGTCCACAGAATGGAGATGGAGGCAGGGCCATAAGGACCTGTCTGTCGAAAAAGGAAAGAAAATATAGTAGTGGGATGAACGACCTGGTAGTTCTCTGGGCCTCTATTGGTCGCCCAAAAAAATAGAGTAGAAACGTTTCTAGTCGGATGAATTTGGGTGCTCCTGTAGTAGCCCGTATGTTTCCTAAAATCATGGCGCGTTAACGGGCACGACTCTAGGAAGTACTGGTGGTTTAAGAACTGGCCTTGGACCATTGTAGATGCTGGGCGTTTAAACCACCAGTACCCGAGGGGGTCTTAGGCCCCCTCTGGGGAGGCTCTGAAGCAAATGCATGTGGACCTGCGCGGCGCACCGATTCAGCCACCGCGTTAATGGCCTAAAAACGTGGAGACGCTGGGCGTCTAACTGGCAGAACCTCGGATGCGATTAGGTTTTTCCAACTGGGCCCTCCTCCCACCTCCGGTGTAAGCCAGATTTTTTGCGCTGGAAATTGGGAGTCTGCAGTAACCGTGGCCAGAGGCTTAGGTGATCATTGATCTGGACTTTGAAATCAATTGCAATCTTGGCTCCTCTTTTTCTCTTGGATCGGTGGAATGTCGTCCTCCTTCTGAGGAGTGCAGTGGGGCCGAATCAATCTCTATCGCCTTTTGTTTTTGTTCCCCCTTTAGGTAGCTAGTCCCTAATCCTACTGTGCCGAAGAGGATTTTGAATCTCGATCTGTCTGGCAAGAGTTCTATTTGTGCCCCATTCGGTGACTTGGCAGGTTGCAAGTGGGCCCAACCAATCACTACTAGGGTCTCCTGTCATCATCACCAGATGGTTTTGAAGGGGACTCGCAGTTGGGCATTGGACTGGTCAAGTTTGCTTTTTTAAAAGCGGATACGACTTTGGTGTTTTACGCTTAGAGGTATGCATAATTCAGGTTTGTAATTCAGGTTTTCTGCTGTGGCGAAAGTAAGCACCATTAGCGGAGAGGCCAGGTTTTCTGCTATGGT